ACCCCGGATCACTTTGGATTTTTTACGAATCCGACGCCATTTTGACCATGGGCGGAGAAAGAAAGAAAGAAAGAGAAAGAGCGAGAGAAAGAAAGAGAAAGAGCGAGAGAGAGAAAGAGAAAGAGAGAAAATATCTTTACCGGTCACGTTTTTTTCTTTTTTTTTTCTCTCATAAATTTCGGGACATTTTTTTTTTTTTTTTTTTTTTTTTTACGACCTTTGGTTTTATTCGTAACAGGTTATTGTCGTATTTGTTATTATTATTATTATTATTCTAAAGCGGTTTGTACGTACGAGTGCGATAGGATTTGTTTGTTTGTTTGTATTGTTTGGCAATCGACCCGTTAATTTAATGACATTGGATGCCAAACGTGTATTTTTAGAATTTTTTTTTTATTTTCTTTTCTCTCTTGCAAAGGGGGGAGGTAGACACGTGATTTCGTGTTTCGATCTCATTTTCTCTCTCTCACTTTTTTTCTCTTTCTTTTTCTCTCTCTCTCTCTCTCTCTCTCTCTCTCTCTCTCTCTCACTTCTCGTGTCCGGTCATCGCGGCAACCCTGTCGTATTTTAAATTTTTTTTTTTTTTTTTTTAGGGGAGGGGGAAATTGGTAACGCTGATTAAAACGTGTGCGTGTACGATTCAATTAAATTAAATACAATAATAATAATAATAATAATAATAATAATAATAAGCCAACGGCCATAGCGTGCTGGTCACACCGGTTCCCGTACGATCACCGAAGTTAAGCAGCATCGGGCGTGGTGCAAACTTGGATGGGTGACCGTCTGAGAACGCCACGTGCTGTTGGCTTAAAAGAGCAAAAAAAAAAAATGAGAACAAGACAAAGTAAGAACCAAAAAACAAATCTTGTTCTACTGTCGACCTGAGGCAGCTCGACGAGAACGTGAATTTCACTGCTTCTGACCCTGGCCACTCCAAAGATGTTAGTCACTGGAGCCCAGTTCAGGAGACAAATCGTTCCCATCGAAAAAGACGGACTCAGGAAGACCTTCAAGAATTGATGTGGTGCTATCTTATAATAAGTGGCACCACCGAAATTCGAGTATTTGTCCCTAAGGATTCGGGTAGAAACCTCGGATAAATACTTAAAAACTCCGACAAGTAGCCTTGTCGTGTTTAATGGTGGATAATAATAATAATAATAATAATAATAATCTTCGATTAAATTTTTTTTGAAATTAATTTTATTAATAAAAATATAGCTTTTGGAGAAAAAAATTAAAAAAAAAAAAAATCACTGGAGAAAGAAAAAGAGGAAAAAGAGAGTGGAAAATGAAAAAAAAAGAGAGAGAGAGAGAGAGAGAGAGAGAGGAAGGGGGGGTAAGAGAAAGATATAGAATTTTTAATTTTAATTTTTTTTTTTTTGGAGTGAGAAATAAAGATTGGAAAATTTGATCCTGGAAATCGGTTATTGTTTAACGTCACGTGATCATTTTTTTTTACAGATTTTATTTTTAGCTTCCTTATTCCAGTACAAAAAGAAAAAAAAATGGTTCAGGTATCGAAATTGAAAGGGAAAGAAATATTAATAATAATAATAGTAGTAATAATCCACCGACCGTTTTCAAAATTTGTTTCTTTCCTTTCTCTCTCTCTTTCTCTCTTTCTTTTTCTGCAATTTTTCTCTCTCTTTCTCTCTTTCTTTTTCTGCAATTTTTCTCTCTCTTTCTCTCTTTCTTTTTCTGCAATTTTTCTCTCTCTTTCTCTCTTTCTTTTTCTGCAATTTTTCTCTCTCTTTCTCTCTTTCTTTTTCTGCAATTTTTCTCTCTCTTTCTTTCTTTCTCTGAATTACTTATTATTTATATCAATCAAGTGAGAAGACGTAAAAAATTTTTTTTTTTTTTTTTTTTTTTTATAGAAAATTCAAAATGGCGAGTAAAATAAGGTTTTTGCATTTTCTCGAAGGATTCGAGTTGTTTTCTCTCTCTCTCTCTCTCTCTTTCTTTCTCCTGACTTTTTATATCTGTCCATTTTGCGATTCGGAAATCATTGTTGGTGTTGTAAAGATTGATGATAAATAGAAGAAAATATCAGGAAGAAGAGGATAAAGTAGAAGGAAGGAAGGCGAAGGGAAAGGGAAAAATGGATGGGGGGAAGGGTGGGAAAAAAAAAAGATGGCAGAAAAGGTTGTTGCTAGGAAAAAAGGAAAGGAAAAAATTTTAATTTGTCGTTAGGAACGGAAAAGCGGAAATGACGTAACGAAATATTTGATATTCTTTATAAAAATTATTATTATTAATAAATTTTTTTTTTTTCTCGACATTTTTTTCTTATTGATTTTGTGATATGGTGATGATGATGATGATGATGATGATGATGTTGGTGAAGCGTAAAAAATAATAATAATAATGATAATAATTTTAAAAAGAAAATTGAAATTAATTGAAAATTTTTAATTTAAATTTTAAGAAAATAATAATAATAATTTTGCGACAAATTTTTAATTCGTTTTTTTTAAAGAGGAAAAATACGATGGAAAAGCTTGATGCGATAATAATAATAATAGTAATAATAATAATGGTAATAATAATAATAAAATGATTCCAGCCGTGCCTTTCTCCGTGTCAGGAAAATTTTTTTTTTCCTTTCTTTTCTTTCTTTCAAATTAAAAACAATGGCAGACAAATTTGTTGTTTATTTGTTTGTTTGTTTGTTTGTTTATTTATTTATTTATTTATTTATATATATATATATATATATATATTTAACATAATAATTCTTAATAATTTTTTTTTTATTTTATTTCAAAAATTCATTTCATGCACGAATGTACGTATGTAAAAGGGGGAAAAATAAAAGAAAAGGGCGGGAAAATCAATTTTCGATTATCGATTTTTTTTTTTTTTTTTTTTAAGAAAATGATTTTTATCGTTTTTGGAAAATTTTTTTTTTCTTTTTATTTTTTTTTCTTTTCCCCGAGTTACAATAGTTTGGCAAAAGATTTAACACGTTTTTAAACTTTTTGATTTTTTTTTTATTTCTTACCTTTTTTTTTATTTTACGATTTCTCCCTCTCCCCCCTTTTCTCGCCCCACGTTCTCATTCCTTTTGCCACTTTTTTTTCAATTCGCCACCCTTCCCCCTTCCCCGTTTCTTCTCTTTCTCTCTCATTCGTTTTTCTCTGTTTCCGTTTTATCCATCCGAATAAAATAAAATAAAATAAAAAAAAGTTGGAATTAAACGTTTCGCATTTTGTTCCAGTTTCTCTCTCTCTCTGTCTCTCTCTCTCTCTGTCTCTCTCGTTCTCTTTTTCTCTTTCTATCTTGACTGGAAAACTGATAAAAATTTTTTTTTTTTTTTTTGGCTTTTGTCCACTCTTCGAATTTTTCATTTTTTTTTTTTTTTTTGTGCAACGTTTTGAAATTTAAAAAATTTTTTTATTTAACATTTTAATGTTGGCAATAATAATCTCTCTCTCTCTCTCTCTCTCTCTCTCCTTTTCTTTCTTTCATTTTCATTTATTATTTTTATTATTATTATTATTTTTTTTTTGTCTGAATGATAAATACATATTTTTCTTCCGTTGTAATCATTTATTGCCGCAAAAAAGAGAAAGAAGAAAGAAAAAGAAAGAAAGAAAGAAAGAGAGAGAGAGAGAGAAAGCATTAAAAAAAAAAGAAATGTCTTTTTAAGCAAATCGTGCCAACATGGCAGCGTTTTTCCAGTAATTTATGAAAAAAAAATTTTTTTTCTTTTTTCTCTCTCTCTCTCTTTTTTTTTTAAACGAAAAAAAAAACGTTTGTCGTCATTATTATTATTATTATTATCATTAACAAGAACTTATTAAACATCATCCCTTATTTTTAAAAAGAGAGAAAGAGAGAGAGAGAGAGAAAGGGGGAAAGAGAATAATTTTCGTTCGAATGATTTTTGAATATGATTTACTGGAAACGATTTTTCTTTTTCACGATTCATGTTTTTCCAGACGAAATGAGGGTAGGGGAGGGATGAAGAGGGGAAAAGAAAAACGACGGGTAGGGAAATATGTACGTACATATATTTAAAAGCAGACGATAATAAATTTTTTTTTTTTTTACGTCCGGAACAACAAAAAAAAAAAAGAAAATTTTTTTTTTTTTTGGAATCGATGTTGAAGGAAAATCCTTAAAAAAGAGGAGGAGGAGGAGGAGGGGTGGAACATAAAGATTTGAATAAGTTGCCAGGGGTAACAAAAGGATCAGAAATCTTTTTCCCGTCTCACTCTCTCTCTCATTTTTTTTTTATTTCCTCTCTTCTCCAGACATCCTCCTCTCACAATCATCATCATCATCATCATCTATTTCTTCTTTTTCTTCTTCTCACTTTTTTTTTAATGTAGCTTCGGCAAACTTTTATCGCATTTCTTATTTTTTTTCCCTTTTATTCTATTCATGTTTGAACCGTCATTTTTTTTATAATACATTTCTATAGGTTTCCTTTTTTGGGGGGGAGGTAGAGGAGAGGGATCTTTAGTATTTCTTGCAATGCAAGAGCCTCATACTTGCACGCACACACACCCGAAAAGGAAAGGAAAAAAGAAAACATTTTTCATATTTCATTTTTATTGTTAAATGTTAAACGTTTATCTCTCTCTCACACACACACACACTCACATACTATCTCTCTCTCTCACTCTCTTTCTCTCTTTTTTATTCTTTATTGTATTGAAAATCGAATCGAAATTGTAGAAATTTTATTCCAGGATTTAAAAGTGCTTATAGACTTTTAAGTATTATTATTATTATTATTATTATTATTATTATTATTATTATTATTATTATTATTATTATTATTATTATTATTGTCATCGTCATTATCATTATCGTTATCGTTGTCATAAATATTCTTTTCGACGATTTTACCGTAAACGTTTTTACCCTTTTTCATATATTTATTTTCACTCTCTCTCTCTCTCTCTTTCTCTCTCCCTTTTTTTTCTTTGCTTGTGCAACAACAACAACGAGAAAATTGGATAGCGTACATGCATAATTTGTAGGTGATGCATTGCATGACAAAAGTGAAAAGGCGAAGTAATATTGACAAACAAGGCGGTGGCGGTAGCAATGGCGGTGACGACGACGACGGGAATAGGTTTCAGGTTTATTAAATAAAATAACAAAAGAAAAGGTTATTTCGTATGATTGGCACGTACTCGGACTCCGTGTTGTTCGGTTGTTTGTTTGTTTGTATGCTTGTTCTTTCGTTTGTCCTTGATGATTTTATTTCTTTCTTCCTTTCAACTATTGCTAAATATCAACAACAATCGAGGCTTTTTTCTTTTTTCTTTTTCTTCTTTCTTTTTATGGTTTTTCGAGTTTGGATATTGAATGGAAAAAAACGAGCGTGGGGGGAGATTGAGGGGGGAGGGGGGTGGTAGAGAAAAGGATTTTTAACGGGTGTGTTTGGTTGTTGTGCCCGTTCGTTCACATATCTGTAAACTCTTCGAAGTTTTTCTTAAATATATTTTATTAAAAAAAAACGACGCAGTTGGAAAAAAAAAGAATGTTTGGCGTTTTTTATAAACACGGCAGAAAAAGGGCGAGAACTTCCTTGGATTGTTTGTTTGGCGTTACACAAAATAATAATAATAATAATGATAATAATGACGACATTGTAAATTTTATAATAATCGTTTGTTTGTTCAAAAACGCAACAAACAACGCAGCAGCACGAAAAAAAAAAAATTTTTCGATTTTAATGTCAGGGAAACGTTTGTAAAATTTCTAGAAAAATCGGATGCGAACGGGCGGAAGAAGTGAAGGAGGAGACGGGGGGGGGTTTAATGGCGGTGGACTCTCGATAGTTGAAATAAATATGTAAAATGTTGGAATAGAAAAAAATTGAACAGTTGTATTCCACAGAATAAAAAATACCGCCTGGCGGCGGTACTAAACCAAATGTTTTCCTTGTTTTGTTTTCCCACGTGTAAATCTATTGATATGAACGTTTTTCCATATCAGAGAAAACACGCAAATTGATTGAATGTGCGTGCGTGAGTGAGTGCGATTAAAACGTTTTTTAATAATAATTGTATCAAGTTGTTGTAATGAGATGATGATGATGGTGGCGGCGTGGCGGTGAAGCGGCGGTACAGGCTCGGAAAAGAAGAATTTACCCGTCATGGTTAGATTTGTAATTAAGCCCAAGTTTTTTTTTTTTTTTTTTTTTTTTATAAATCGTAATTAAAGTCGGATATGGCGTTCACTCGAACGCCTTAAGGCTCTCGCACGCGGGATAAGAAAAAAAAAAAAAAAAAAGTAATTAATTGGTGTTTTTTCTTGCGTAAAATAATAATAAGACAAGGAAGAAACGTTTCGAAGGAAGAGGGAGGGATGGAGGGTAAAAGAGGATAAGGGCGTTAAAGTGTCACGTATAAGATCAAAAAGGGATTTGTGAGATTATTAAAAAAAAAAAAAAAAAAAAAAAAAAAAAAAAAAAAAAAAAAAAAAAAAAAAAGAAAAAAGGAGACAGGGAAGAGCAGGGTCCCAAGCTTCGGATTTAAAATTACAGGGGAATTTTTTCCCTCTCTCCCACTCTCCCCCTCTTTCTCAAAATTGGGGGCGTCCCCCCCCCGAAATTTTTTTTTTTTTCTTTTTCCCTTTTTCAACGGCCTCCGGCTTTTAATTTTAAATTAAAAGGGAATTTTTCCCAGCAGGATCCAGCATCGGATTTAAATTACAAGGGAATTTTTTCCCTCTCTCTCACTCTCTCTCTCTTTCTCTTTCTCTAAATTTGCGGCGTCTCGACGCCGTAATTTTTTTTTTTTCTTTTTCCCTTTTTCAACCGTCTTCTGCTTTTTATTTTTTATTTTATTTTTCTTTTTTCCTTTCTCTGTCTCTCTCTCTCTCTCTCTCTTTTATTCAGTCGTCTCGACTCTTTTTTTTTTTTTTATCTTTTTCCTTCCTTTCGACGTTCTTTCAGACAAACGGAGACTTTTGGTTGCCATGACTATCGTATCTCACTACCACTCATCCTTATTAAAGTGTATATAATTGTGCGTGCGTGGGTGCTTGTGTGTGTGTGTGTGTGTCTGTTTTTTTATTCTGATTTTTCCATTTTCTTTTTTTTACTCTCCTAATTATATTTCTTTTTTTTTTTTTTTTTTGTTACAGAATCAGTCGGAATGTCAGGGAAAGAATACGAATCAAGGTTCGATCGGTGGTCAATCGAATCGAGATTCGAAGCCGGAGGTCACGGCGAAAAAACCAAAAGTCGAGGAAACATCTCCTCCTCCCCCACCACCGCCGGTACCGGTGTCGGTACCGCCACCGCCACCTCCCTCGACTCCAATCGAAACAAAGCCCAACGAGGATTCAACACGATCTCACAACGGGGAAAAAACGGATGATGTCGTTACCCCGAGACTGAAGGCGCTGGACGTCAAAGAATCATCTATTCGTAGAATTAATGAAGAAGCTCTTCGCTCAATAGGGATCAAGTCTCTTGATGATGGTGCGTTACGAAGTTTGGGAATAAAGGGATTCGACGAGGGAGAGCTTAAAAACGTCGAAGATTCCTACGGGACTTATCTGCAGTATGCAGCCGCAGCAGAGCCTTACATATATTGGTACGATGCGTGGCGAACGTCAGCATTTCGTCCGTGGCCATCTTTATCTATAAAAGATTCCAAGTCTCAAACAATACTTAGAGATAGGTGAGTACCTTCCCTAACCGTTTCTGAACGGTAATGTGAAATTATTATTATTATTATTACTATACCCTCATTTTTTTTTCAGTATCCCTCAGTCAGTGCCTGCCTACCTAAGCCAAGGTCCTCCCGTTCTCTTGCATCCCGAAAGGGTGATTCCTTTGTCCGAATCGGAAAGATTCGAAAGGAGTTTTCAACCTAACGTAGCTTTAGCTCCTGCACTTCATCATAGGCCAAAAATTGAATGTTCAGAAAAACAGGTGAGTTTTTTTTTTTGTACTTTGAAATGTTTGTCCGAACGTGGAGCATGATGAAACGTCAAAAGAAACGAGCTATTATTATTATTATTATTATTGTTTTTATTCCCATCAGGTCAAGTGCGAACCTGAATCTATAGAAGATAGCAAAAAAGCCGAATTATTATGTCCGCCTCCTCCTGCGACAACCGAAAGGAAAGCCGTTTTAACCGTTGTCGCATCGTCACGGTACAATTCAGAAATTGAATTATCAACGGATACGGATGACAGTTCGTCGGAAGCAACGGGAGAACACGGATCGATTCCCAGAGGGGAAAGAGTCGTGGAACAAGTCGCCGAGGTTTTGGATGCTCTCAGCGATGCAAAAGAAGCCACACGTGCAAGAGTAGTTGCCCTAGTCCAACAGTTGGCATCGAGGTTAAATTTAGAAGAAGCCAACGTACGAAGGTTAGAAGAAGAAAATTCAGAATTGAGGCACGTTCAACGGGAACAAGAAGATTTGTTAGCGAGTAAAGATAGGAGGATAGCTCAACTTCAACAAAGGCTTCAAGAAGCGGATTCATCGTCGAACAAGGTCAGGAGAGGGGGAAGGGGAAAAGAAAAACTTGACGACGTCAATTCGTCGCAACCAAAATTTTTTAAAATTAATTTGTTTGTTTGTTTGTTTGTTTGTTTTTTGATCAGAGCGTGCAACCGTTTCAAGACAAAGTTATAGCCATGGAAAAAGAAATAAGGACATCACACTCGGATATGAACGGATCGTCGGAACACGGTGCGACGGGTGGTAGGAGTCCAATATCCGTCATCACATCATCTCCGAACGTTGTAATAAAAACGGAACCGACGGAGTGACAGACGAGTCAGGGCGTCTTGGACGTCTTCAGGTATTTAGGACTACTAGTCAAACCATTTACCGACTCTTAACTTCTTTGTCTGACTTCACACGTCCTAACGAGATACCATTTTACTTTCAGAAACACTTGCATACTTCGTTGTTCGCGGATTCGATGAATCGAACGTCTCTCTCTTTAATTCGTATAAAATGATTGATCACTACCACAGACCACCACCAAAACCAGGATGATGAGATGCGGAGGGTCTCGTGCGTGTGCTCATTTTTGTGCTATTCTCTCTATTTCTCTCTTTCACTTTGTTTCTCAAGTTAAAAAAAAGGAAAAAATTATTAAAACAAACGTTCTCCCCCCCCCCCTAATGTCGCACGTTTTTGACAACATGACAAAGCTCAAAAATTTACCCACGCCCTCCCCCTCTCTTTCTCTGTCTCCGTTTAAATGAATGAGAAGGAGGTTGGGAAGTGTGGAGGGGAAAGAGAGAGAAAATGTTTTTTTTCTTAATTTTCTCCTCATCCTAATTTTCTCTTATTAACGCCACCGCAGTTTTCACCGCCTTCTCCCTCTTCCTACCCTCCCCTCCCCTCCCCTCACCCATTCTCATCTCTCTCTCTCTCTCGTCTTGGGAAATATTTGTTGTTTTTTTATGGGGAGGAAGGGGACGGAGGGTGAGATATACGGAACGGGAGAAGCACGTACGTATGTGTGTGGGTTTGGAGACGACGGAAGAGGGGAAAAATTTTCCTTCCTCTCTCTCTCCCTCTTTTCTCCTTCCTCCCCACTACGTCATCGTTTTGACCTTGAAAAAGTGATAAATTGTAATAAAAAATTTTTTCTTTTCTTTTTTTTTTTTTTTAAATTTTGTAAAATTGTTTTACTTTTATTTTTTTAATTATTTAAAAATGAAATGAAATGAAAAATTATTATTATTATTAAGATAATGTTGTTGTTTGATTTATTATTATTATTATCATCACCAATAATAATAATATTATTATTAATTATTATTGATTGTAATTAATAATTTATTGGAAACAAAGGAAAATTTTACAAAAAAAAAATGTTTTTTTTCTGTTTATTTTTATTTTATTTTATTTCATGTAATAATAATAATAATAATGAAATTTTAATTACGTACGTGAAACAAACAAATAAATAAATAATAATAATAAAACAAACATTCGAATACAATGAAAATAATAATGCCAAACGAATAAAAATATAAACAAACAAAACAATAATAATAATAATTATTATTATTTTTACTATTATTATTATTATTATTATTATTATTATTATTATTTAACGAAATGATTGATTATGTAATCGATTAATCAATTTGACGGAAATGATTAAAAAAAAAAAATTTTGTTTTTTTAAACGCGACACGAAGGCCTAACTAAAATTTATTTAATAAATTAAAAAATAAATAAATAAATAAATAAATAATAATAATAATAATAATAATAATAATCGACTGGAAATTTAAATTAATAATTTAATAAATAAATGAATGAATGAATGATTTGATTAATTAAACAAATAATCATTATTATTATTATCAAAAAAAAAAAAAATTTGATATTTGACCCACCAAATTAATATAATAATAAATAATAAATAATAATAATAATAATGTTAAAATTTTTATGGATCTCTCGAGATGAACACGTTATAGAAGAGGGGGAGGTGGGTGCGCGTGCGCGTGCGTGGGGTGCGTAAAATGGAGGAAAATTGGGGGGGGGGGTTAAGTTTTTTTTCCAGGACAAAACAAAAAATTTTATTTTTGACGATAAAGATGAATGATGTGGGAAGATGAGACAGGGGGAGGGGGAGGAAAGGGAAAAAGGTTACGGAAAAAAATTCCAGGAAATGTCTCCAGATTGATACGATTTCCAAATCGCAGATCAGTGTTCCCAACTTTCTCGTATTTTTTTTTTGTTTTTTTTGGAAACGTTGATACTTAAAACACCGACACAGTTATGGGACCAATTCCAGACTTTTCCAAAAAAAAAAAAAATTTCGTTTTGGAAAATCTGTTTCGACTGATAATCATTTTCACGATATGTCGACCAAACAACAAACAAACAATCGGGAAATTTTTAGGTTTGTTGTGTTAAAAAAAAAAAATCTCTCAACACGAATTTTATACCTCCGAGTTCTCACGCACGCTTACACGCACGCACATACCACGTGGGGAGCGATGATAAAAAAAAAATTGTTATCAGATCGTATAACGTTTGTAATAAGTGACAACAACAACAACAACAACGACGACAACCTTATCATATTATCTCCAGCCTCGTTTTATTATTCTCTGTCCATTTTATCATTTTTTTTTTCTTAACAATCTCACCTTTGAATTCTTTACCGTCTTTTTTTTCTTTTCGTAATCTCCTCACTCTCTCTCTCTCTCTCTCTCTCTCTCTCTCTGTCTCTCTCTGACACAATCGCGTTACATTTTTTTTTTTTTTGGAAGTCTGGAGAGAGATTTTAAACTACAGTACGAGAGCCATCATCACCGCCATCACGAAAAATTCCTTCGTCGTCACCGCCACCGCCGCCGCAATCGTCATCATCGTCATCGTTATTATTATTATTATTATTTTTAATGTAAAAAAAGAAAAGTTTTCAATTATAAATAAAAAAAAAAAAACTTGTTTTTATTTTAATTTATTCAATTTTTTGTCTCTTTTTAATAATATGAAAAAAAAAAAAAAGAAGAAAAAAAAATTAATTTAACGGTTTTTGTTATTGTACATAAATTTAAAGGAAATGAAAAATAAATAAATAAATGAACGACTTTAAATAAATAAATAAGTAAATTATTATTATTTTTTTTCCAACATTTTACCTACAAACCGAGTTTTTAACCATCCCCCCCCACCACCGCCTTCATCATCCTCATCACCACCATCACCATCATCATCCTCATTACCACCACCACCACTACCACCGCCTTCATCATCCTCATCACCACCGCCATCATCGCCGTCATCCTTCCCACCACCACCATCATCGCCGTCATCCTTCCCACCACCGCCATCATCATCCTCATCACCACCACCACCATCGCCGTCATCATTCCCACCATCACCGCAACGATTACAACGATGATAATAATAATTTTTTTTTTTTTTTTTTATTAACCCAGGCATTTCGCAATCTCCTGTAATCCAGCTACTTGGAGGCCGGGTGCAGCGGATGACTCTGATCGTGTAATTCGGATCCTACTTGTTGCGCATTATTTTAAAACGGTCGACGGGACACCCTGACCAAGTGTTTCCGCCGGCCGACAGGGTATTTAGGGACTTGTTCCCGATGCGCGGCGGTTGAAAGCCGTTTTCCCCGATCGCAGACGAAGAGTCAGACCTGTACCTTACCAATCTTCCGGGAGAAAAAGAGTGTGGGGCTCGGCACTTTTCTTTCATCATCCTGCCCGGGAAAACGGGAATGCGAGTGGAAGGACGGCGTGGAGATCTTCTTGCGTGGGATGAACGGGACACTCTTCTCGCGGGGAATCGACTCGTGTCCGGAAACTCGTCATTCTCGGGGGGTGGTTCGCATACTTGAGGTGCGTGCGATTCATTCCAACGGCAGAAAGAAGATGCGAACAAAGATGAAGATCGGGATGACGACGGATCCGACGATGACGACGACGTCGGAGTCCGCACCGGTTGGATTCTCGCGGACGGCGGCAGGGGCGAAACGCGGACGGACTGCGGGGACTGTTTCGTCGTCCCGGCAACCTCGGAACTTCTCACCGCCTTTGGAAGCTCACTTCATCTCTGCGGGGAGGCGGAAACGACGTGGCAGGTCGGTACCGTCTCCCGAGGCACGAGGGAGGAAAGGATTTGTCCCGGTACTTCGAGTCGGGCTCCGGATCTCTTTCTCAATTACGTCGGGGGAGATTCGTCCCGGCTTCGATGCGATGGCGTTCTTCGCGGCGGTTGGAGTCTGCCAAACTTCGGTCGTCGCGGGGTCGTCGGGGAGGGAACGGGGAATAACGTTATCTCATTTCAGGTGCGGATCTTCGGGATCTTCCAAATGAACGGCGGCGGGAAGACGAAACAGAAGGAGTCGGCGATTCGGGCGGGAGTCGCGCCCCGTTCGGTTCGTCCGGGTCCGGAAGTTCGATTTTCCCGCGTGGAGAGGCGGAAACGGCGTGGCAGGTCGGAGTCGTCTCCCGGGGCACGAGGGAGGAAAGGATTTGTCCCGGTACTCCGAGTCGGGCTCCGGATCTCTTTCTCGATTACGTCGAGGGGAGATTTGTTCCGGCTTCGGTGCGTTGGCGTACTTCGCGGCGATTGGAGTCTGCCAAACTTCGGTCGTCGCGGGGTCGTCGAGGGGGAGGAACGGGGATTAATGTTTCCGATTTTCAGGTTCATGTCTTCGATCTTTCTCCCGGAGCGAGCATCGGCAGGGGCGCGAAGGTGAAGGAAACGCGCGGGCCGGCCGGGAGTAGCGAACCCGTTCGGGTCGTTCGGTTCCGGAAGCTTGCGTCTCCTGCGGCGGAGGCGGGAGAGACGTGGCAGGTCGCGAACGTCTCCGCAAATGTGAAGGTGAAGACGCCCGGCGGTGGCGGGCGCGAACCCGTCGTCGTCGGGCGAACACACACACTTCTTTTCTTTTTTCTCGAGAGTCGGCGACCCCGGTCGATTCCTTTTCTGTCCCCCTTTCTATTCTTCACACCGTTAGGGAGGATGCGATCAAATAACTCTTCACTTTAATCTTTTTACTCTTTTCAGGTGGCGTGGTAAGTCTCAATCCCCAGCCCCGATCGCATCCTCAGGAAACAGGCGCGTTTCCCGTCCAATTCCCCACGGCGAGGAACCGGAGGACACTCCTGAAAGGGGGTGCCGAACGTCCCGGGAGATGCGTTCTCGTCTTCGAGGTGGAGACGGAACGGAGATTTGGGCGGATCTCCCTAAAAGCGATCATGTGGAACGGCTAACATTCTGACCTACCGGAGAGGGGAGACTGAAATGTAGGTTAAACTCC